TCATGTCATTTCCTCATGAAGTGCCCCTGGTAAAATTTAACCTTAAATTGAAAACTTAAGTTCTATGGTACATCTAAGGCAATGCCATTCAGCAGCTGTAATTTTGGAGTTAGGTGGAAAACAATCAAAAATAAAATATCCCATGGAATTTCCAATGTTCTTTCTCCAGACTGTTTCAATTTTGGCAAATCATTGAAAAAGAAATATGTTCAACAAGAGTATTAAATAAAAAAAAAATCGAACTCGTTATCAAGGCAATGTAATAATCAAAGGGAAATTGAACCTTCATGTTGATGGAACAAATAAAATTGGCAAAAGCAGTCTTGAATGCAAGTTTGTAAAATACTTCTATGACAGTTTTCTGGAACATTAACACATTGTGGATCCAACTATGGTCAATACTATTTAGTTCAAGTATTGTGTAATAAGGCAAGGTTAATTAATAATCTCACTATTAAATGGCCTCAAGGAATAATAAGAAATGCAATTGAATCAGATTATATTTAAAATTAAAATAAATGAGTATGAAAATTAGATAAATAGGCAGGTATGGCAGCAAATAACAGTGGGAGAAATTTAAAGACATACTCTCAACAAATATGTGTTCCACTGACATACAAAAACTGGTGAGAACGGGTAGTATTACATTAAAAGACCATAAAATATAGAAGCAGAATTAGGCCATTTGGCCTATCAAGTCTGCTCCACTGTTGGATCTTGACTGATATGTTTCTCAACTCCATTGTCCTGACTTCTCCCCATAACCTGTGACTCCCTCAGTAGTCAAGAATCTAATTATGTCTGTCTCAAATGCATACAATGACTTGGCTTCCACAGCCTTCTGTGGAAATAGGATCCACAGATTTACTGACTGAAGAAATTCCTCTTCAACTCAGTTCTAAAGGGTCGTGCCTTCATCTGAGGCTGTGCCATTATGTCCTAGTCTCTCCTATTAGTGGAAACACCTTTTCCATGTCCACCGTATCCAGGCCTCTCAGCATTCTGTAGGTTTCAATGAGATCCCCCTCTCTTCCTTCTCCATTTAGTACAGACCCAGAGTCCTCAAGTGCACCTCATTGACCATCCCTTCATCCTCAGGATCATTCTTGTAAACATCCTCTAGACTTCCGCCATTGCTAGCATGTCGTTCCTTAGGTACGAGGCCTAAAACTGCTCACAATATTCCAAATGCATTCTGACCAAATATTTATACAGCCTCAGCAGTCCATATCTGCTCTTGTACTCTTACCGTCTTGAAATGAAAGCTAACATTGCATTTGCCTTCCTAGCTGCCAACTGAACCTGCAAGTTAAAAGAATCCTGAACTCTAAATCTTAGTTACTTTGTGCTTCAGATTTCCAAAACCTTTAGAAAATAAAGGCATAGAGGTCTATGCCTCTATTCTTCCTACCAAAGTGCATAACCTCACACTGTATTTCATTTACCACTTCTTTGCCATTACGAAGGAGTGGGACAGGCTCCGCACAACCTCACCTATGTAACTGGTTTGCACCTGCTGCATCTCCCAGGTTACTGATCTTGGTTGGTCATCAATTCACTGCAGCAGTATATGAAGCTTGGTTCATGCACTGTCAAAGCACTTCTAGAAAACAAATCAAAACCAAAGTGCAGATCAGCCTTCATGCTGGTCGGGTACAGCATTAACATTGCTGCCCTATGTTAAGAAATCTGAGCTTGAGAACGTTGATGCAAGCTACCCATTCTTTTAGTTTAGAAAATCTAAACTGGATTTTAAAGTCAAGTGTGAGCTTTGCCATCCAATCTGAACTGGCATTCAAGTTAGATTCATTTTCTAAGGGAATCATAATGTACTAGGAATCTGCATGCAATAGTCATTTGCACCTAGGTTCCAACAATGACACGTATAGGTGAGGTCAAAGAAATATTTTCTAATGACCTAAGCGAGATAATTAAAAGAGCATCCTACAGTGAAAAGCTAACTTTTATTTCAGTTCCTAAGTGGGCACAGACTCTAATTCATGGAGACGAGGATTAGAAAACCACAGAAACCACAGCCACAGTATTGGCAGAGCAAACTTCAATGGCCAGTTCCCTATGCTAGGTGCAGCAAGTTTGACGTGACCATCACACTCTGCCAGCAAGCAAGCCAACAGAAAAAAAAGTTGCACATCAGATCCAAACATTATTATAGTCAGATTGCAAATTTTAAGACAAGTCTCTGTCCCTATTCTCTGTGTTTAGCTGTGTGTAAGCAAATTGTTATTTTAACTTTTACCCTTCCTACAGCAACACTGTGGTAATGTTAAACCACGGCATTTTTAGACTGGTGAGAAGGAGTCTTGCAACACCAGCACTTTTGCCAACATACAAGAAGGTTTAGCATCAGAACAGATAAAGAGATTATTTAATTAATACCGAGGTATATTAGCTTATCAATGGATTTTAAGATGAAGTCCAAAAGTCTAAAGTTGGAGTTGACAGATTGGAATTCATTTTGGTGATGGATGGGTGCAATAAAGCAGCACTTGCAAAGGAATAATATGCTTACAAACACTCCATCAGTGCCATTCAACTCTGACCTCTTACAGCATTGGTTCAAACATAGACAAAGGAGCTGAACTCCAGAGGTGAGGTGGCGTTGACTGTTCTTGTCATCAAGGCAGCTTTCAATCATGTATGACATAGAGGAACTTCAGCAAAACTGGAATCAATAGGAATTGAGATGCTGGGGGCGGGGTGGGGTGGCGCGGTGTGGGGGAAGGCTGTGAGCTCTCCATTGATCACAGTCAAAAGAAGTTGCTAATGGTTGTTTTGCTATCATCTCACCCCAAGGACCTCATGGTAGTGTCCTTGGCCTAATCATGTTTGGCTGCTTCATCAATGACCTTCCATCTTAAGTAAGACCTGAAGTGAGGATGTTTGCTGATGGAGACCTTTGCCTGGCAAAAGCAAGCTCAGCATTTGCTAGGCTTTGTCTAGACTTCGGAAAGAGTGTGGAATTTGTTTCAGAACAAAGATCAAAGTCTGTCAGTAGTGGATCTTATATCACCTCTTTATGGATTTGAAACCTGGATAACCTACTGGTGTGACATAAAGTAACTAGAAGCATTTTACCTTTGTTGTCTAAGATTTTTGCAACATTAGTTTCCAGGACAAAACCCTAACATCAAAGATTTTGTAAAATGTCGCTTACATAACACAGACAGCATGTTTATCGGGCCTGAGTTTTGTGTGAGTTGGTGATGTAGTTTACATGGCAGATACATAGTACATAGTAGCCAGTTGAGCACAGGAACCCGCACCTCAGAATGTGCCAAACCTACTTATATAAGCAATCTGAATGCCCATCTCAGAACTTTGCAAGCTGGATTCTAATACATGGAAACAATAATCTTTGACAGATCCAAAAGGAAGAGTTTCTGTGATCATATGATTTTGACTTATGAGGAAATCAAAGGACAACTGAGAGTGGCAAAAACCCAATGCTTTCATCCACCTCTCCAAGACTGACATCATATGCACTTCTTCCAATCAGTTGCACAATTTGAAATGGTGCCTGAGATTGAACATGACACAAACTTAACGAGATTGTAAGCCAGTTTTTTGTTGCTGAACACTCACCTGCTGAAGCGATGTGGAATCATAAACATAAGATTAAAAGAAGAGTTCACAATGCTGAGAAAAAATGTTAGAAAGTCTGAGGATTATTATTTTTATCTAAGATTATAAAGGGATCTTGAGCAGTTGGGCCAGTGGGCTGAGGAGTGCCAGATGGAGTTTAATTTGGATAAATGCGAGGTATTGCATTTTGGTAAAACAAACAAGGACTTGTACATTTAATTGTAGGGCCCTAGGTAGTGTTGTAGAATAGATACCTAGAGATTCAGGTAGATAATTCTTTGAAATTTGTGTCACAGGTTTGTGTCACAGGTGGACATCATGTTGACATTGTACAGGACATTGGTGAGGCTGCTTTTGGAGTACTGTGTGCTGTTCTGGTCACCCTGCTATAGAAAGAATATTACTAAATTGGAGAGGATTCAGAAATGATTTACCAGGATGTTGCTGGGTCCGGAGGGTTTGAGCTATAAGGAGAAGCTGGATAGGCTGGAACTTTTCTCACTGGAGCATAGGAGGTTGAGGGGTGACCTTATAGAGGTTTGTAAATTCATGAGGGGCGTAGGTAAGGTGAATGGTGAAGGTCATTTCCCTAGGGTGGGGAAGTTCAAAACTAGGGAATATAGGCAATAGGCCATATTTTTAAGGTGAGAGGAGAAAGATTTAAAAGGGCAGTTCCTATGTGGAATGAACTGCCAGAGGAAGTGGTAGATGTAAGAACAATTACAACATTTAAAAGACATTTGGATATGTACATGAGTAGGAAAAGTTAAGGGATATGGACCAAAGGCAGGAAGTGGGACTAGTTTAGTTTGGGAAGCTTAGTCAGCATGAACAAGTTGGACCAAAGGGTCTATTTCTGTGCAGTATGATTCTACTCTATAACTCTATGAGGATTAGAAGGCTTTCAGAGATCAATAAAGCATGACCAAAAGGTTGATAAAAATAGAATGAGAGTAACCTAGCCAGGAATATAACATCATTGATCTAAGAGAATCAAGGAATATCAAGATTGAGTGGGAAGTTACAGTTGAAGCAGAAGATCAGCCATGATTGTATTGAATGATGGAGCAACGTCTTGGAGTGGTTTGGGATAATCCTGCTCTTATTTTATATGTTCTGGTAAAATAGACTGGGATGATCACCAGATTCCATGGTGTTGTCAGATCTGGAATAAGTATTGGAAATCAGCCATCCTTGATCCAGAGCTGTCAGAAATCAAGATGTTAGGTTAAGAATTTCTGTGAATAAATCTTCTGATTATTACAGGCCATCAATAAACCACTAAAAATTTCTTAATGTCATTTTGACTATACAAATGTGCATTGTGATGCCTGTCATCTGCTGTTGTCCAGTCTCTCTATGGCATACTGATTTCGATCTTTTTTATTTTTCTCTAGGTCCTTCTAAGCAGTTACAGCTCACAGTAGAAGAGACAAGAATTCTTGTGAGAAGGCACCATCATGTTCTCCCTCCCTCACAGTGCCAGCATAAAGAATGACAACTTATCTGGATTTTGTGCAGTGAGATACCCAGGATTAAAGCATAGCAGCAAGTTTAATGATAGAAAAGCTCAGGATACAGCTCTCTAGAAAGCAAGGCACTATCTCAACTTTGCTGAGGAGAACTGAGAGAGAGGACATGAATTGCCCAGGAATAAAATTAAAACTATTGGTCATAACAACATTGACAACTTACATTTATTTAATACATTTAATGTAGTAAAATGTCCCAAGGTACATCATAGGTGTGTTAGGAAAGAAAATTTGATACTGAGCACAAGACGATTTTAGAGTCATTGGCTAAAACTTTAGCTAAAGAGATTGATTTAACGGAGTGTCTTAAAGGAAAAAGATAGAAAGAAAGGTGGAGAGATTTAGGAAGGAAGTCCTAGTGTTTAGAACCTGGCACCAAGTATGAATGTTAAAATCAGGAATGGGTAAGAGCCTAGAACTGGCAGAATACTTATATTTCAGAGGTTTGTAGGGCTACAGGAGTTAGAGCATTAGAGAGTGCTTGATGTCACGGGGAGGGATTTGAAGTTAAAGGTAAGAATTTTAAATTGAATTGTAATCAATCAGGGATCAGTGAACACAAGAATAATAGGTGAACAGGAGTTGGCACAACCTAGGATACCGGCAACAGAGTTTTGTAACTGCTAACATTCATGAAGGATGTAGGATGGGAATTCGTAAAACATGAATTGAATCAGTGACATCAAGAGATAACAAAGACATGGATGAAGATTTCAGTAACTGATAAGATGGGCCAATGTTAAGGAAGTGTATATAATTTACCAGTCTCTGATAGCTAATATGGTTGGTATGTTGGTTTAGCATCAAATACAACACTAAGGTTATAAAAAGCATCAGAAATCTGATGGAATCAATAGCTAGAAACAGGAATTTGTAGTAAAAACTGAAGACTAAAACATCACGCCTACCAAAATTTAGAGGTTTTTACTTATGTATTACTGGTTGCTCGACTTATCATTTAATGACAGTGCAGAAATTGGAAGTGAGATAAAATAGGTATCATCAGGGCATATGGAGCCTGGCATGTTTATAGATGATGTCAAGGGGTGTCATGTAGATGATAACTAGGAGCTGTCTGAGAATAGGTCCTTGAGGGATTCCAGAGGTTATTGTGTGGGAGTGGGAAGAGAAGTTAAGACTGGTAATTCTTTGGATACGACTGGATAGTCAGGAGTGCAACCACAGGACAGTCTCACCCAGCTGGAGGAGAGGTGTTGGAGGATGCTGGTATAATCTGTTGTATTATGGCCTAGATTTCAGAGCCAAAAAGCCTGTAATTTAAGACTGTTATGTGACATCATGACCTGTGATGTTCTGCCGTAAAGGTATCTGCTTTGCCTTCAGTAACTCTCTCGGTGTAATGGAGTCACTGTAGTCAGTTAATTATGAGTGTGTAATATAGAATAATGTTGAAAGCATAGAACACAGATAATGTGTGTAAGTCTGTGATATTGTAACCTTTTAAATACTTAGTATAATAAATAAACTTCAAGATATCTGAATCAGTAAGAACCCACTATACGTGGCATTTTTTATGTGTGTTAAAATTGGAAAATCAGTTCATGGTTATCATATCGAAGGTTGCAGACAGGTCAAGAAGGATGAGGAGTGATAGCCACATACAATATCATTTGTGTCTTTGAGAAGAGCCTTTCCGTTGCTGTGGCAGGGGCATAAGTTTATTTTTGGAGGAGTTAAACAACAAAGTTCTAAGAAATATCGGCAAAGATTTAGAAGAACCAGTAATTTGCAAGGACAGAAGATCAAAGTTTGGAATTTTGAGGAGGAATTGGAAAGTTGGACAAAGAGTTTCAGCATTCTGACTCAATGTGTGTAGGAATCTATTTCTGTCTTATGTGATGTTAACTCCAGGCATAAACATCCTGCAGTCATGGCCAACTCCAGAGAAGCTGCAACCAGGTCCTCACAAAGAAGTCAGTTGTTATTTAAAGAAAAATTGCATTTATACATTGCCTTTTACAAACTCAGCAAACCCTTAACTGCTTTCTAGATAATGAGGTACTTTCAATTGTAGTTACTGTTGTAATGTATGAAACATGGCAGCAATTTGCATACAGCAGGATCCCCTAAAAAGCACTATAATCAATGATCATTCAATTTGTTTTATGCTTTCCTTGAAGGACAAATAATGTCTTGGGGAACATGTTGATTTCCTCTGCCCTTCTTCGAATAACGTGGTGGAATCTTACACATCCACCTCAGAGGACATCTGAAAATGGCACCTCTGGCAATGTGGCACCTAGTATTGCACTAAAATGTTCAAGTCCTTGAAGTGGTCACTGATCTTCAATCCTTGCTGCTTCAGCTGTGACAGCACAATGACATGGGCCTCAAACTCTATAACCTGCTAATTCAGATGCAACAGAGTTATCAATTTAATTACATTTGACACCTATGTCATATACTATATTGTATACTGATTACTACAATGTCAGATTACAGATGTAAAATATTTGAACTATAAGTGAAGTCTCCAGAAGTACGATCTTCACAGGTAAGTAATTTGTCTCTTAAGCCATCTGACAACGGTTTGAGAAATGCGAGGTTAAGGTCTTATTGTGTTCCCCTGTTTGCCCTCCTTCTTCACTCACAGAAAATTTGTACCTTTTCTCATTGCTTTTCCCATTTTCCTAATTGCCTCCTACAGACAGTCAAATAACATGTGACATCAATGATTTTTGTAGAAGTAAATGTTTCCTCTTTGTGACTTGCAAGCTGTTAGCTGATAGGGAGGTGTGTGGGAAATCATATCTCACAAATTTGATTGGGGTTTTTGAAGGGATGACTAAGAAGACCGATGAAGGCAGAGCAGTCAATGTTGTCTACATAGACTTTAGCAAGGCCTTCAACAAGGGTCCGCATGGTAGACTGGTTAGTATGGTTCATACGGGATCCGGGGAGAGCTAGCCAACTGGATACAAAATTGGCTTGACGGTAGGTAGGGTGGTTAATGGGGCGTTTGGCATACTTACTTTGGCATTGGTCAGAGCATTGAGTACAGGAGTTGGGAAGTCATGTTATAACTGTACAGACATTGGTAAGGCCACATTTGGAGTACTGCATACATTTCTGGTTGTCCTGCTCTCGGAACAATGTTACTAAACTGGAAAGGGTGCAAAAAAGATTTACGAGGATGTTACTGATACTGGAAGGTTTGCTTTATAAGGAGAGACTGGATAGGCTGGGATCTTTCTCCATGGTGTGTGGGAGGCTGAGAGCGGACCTTATAGAGGTTTATAAAATCATGAAGGGCATAGATAACGTGAATAGTCAAGGTCTTTTCTCCAGGGTAGGGCCATAAATTTAAGGCGAGCGGGGAAAGATTTAAAAGAGAACTGGCAGGCAATATTTTCACACAGAGGATAGTGTGTATATGAAATGAGCTTCCAGAGGAAGTGGTAGAGGTGGGTACAATTACAACATTTAAAAGATATTTGGAGAGGTACATGGGTAGGAAAGGTTTAAAGGAAATTAAATTGCTGCCTATAAATTACGTGCCTGTGTGCTTCTCTTCACTCCACCTGACGAAGGAGCAGTGCTCCGAAAGCTTGTGATTTCAAATAACCCTGTTGGACTATAACTTGGTGTCATGTGAAGCACCTTAGAGGCACAGAGTAAAAAAATTCCAATGAACTTTTTTTCATTCTGTGGAAAAGTTGAACAAGATTAAATTGAGATCTGGTCATATTCTGGACATATTTTGGTCAATTGTTTGAACGCAAAGTAATAAATCTGCACTTCCAGCAGATGGCAGCAAGTGACCATTAAAATACAGAAAGCCAGCTTCTACACATCATTTCATCCAGGTCCTAATATTGTTCAATATATCATAGAATGAACTTTGCTGATTTAAAAGTAAGTATTAAAGGCCCCTCAGTTCAGATTGCCAAATTCTCGGGTTTTATTTCAAATCGTTCTTAGGACTATCCCCTACTTTTTTTTCAATAGCAAGAAACAATCCTGTGATTCTGTGAGATCTTTGCTTTCCTCTGATTTTACTATCTTACACAGCTTTCCCTCGCTCCATCATTGTTTGATTGCCTTTAGCTGTCAAGCCTTTGTCATAATAAAAACTGATAAAACTGCGGATGCTGTAAATCAGGAACAAAAACAAAGTTGCTGGAAAAGCTCAGCAGGTCTGGCAGCATCTGTGAAGGAGAAAACAGAGTTAACGTTTCGGGTCCGATGACCCTTCCTCAGAAGCCTTTGTCATATGTTGTGATACAAACTACTGCTCGCTTGTGGTTGGGGTACAGTACTGCCACCAATTCTCCTTTCAACTTTTTAAATAAACCAAATGACAAAAATTAAAGAAAAATTAGGATTGACATTCCCTACACAGTCCTTGTAACAAAAGTCAAAATCACAAATGAAATTTCCAAATTTAAATTGAGTTATCATTTTGCAGGGGTTGCAATGCACCCAGCCTCCACAATGCCCACTGGACATTGAAGACCTGAAGCACACTTGCTGACACCATGCGTTCCCAGTCCAAGGACAACCTAGCACTGACATAACTGCAACAGGGAGGCAGGCAGTCTGGTGCAATGACAGCATGCTGCCCAAACCTGTTTATGACGATGTAGCCAGGCCCAGCAACAGACCTATGAGAAAGGCCACCAATCTGTCCAACCCTCTACACAATGGGTGAATCCTCGCTTTCATGCTGAGACTAAAAGCCTTTCTAATTAGTAGTGGTAGAGCATATGCCACTATTGAGTCTTAACAACAAGGGAGGCATTTTTCTTACATAACAAGATATTTTTACTTGCATGATAGTAATAGGCACAAGATATATTGACTAATTACGCATATTTACAAAGACTATCAGGAACCAGAGATGACAAGTTTATCTCCATTGGAACCGTATGCTAGAACTGATTCTTCTGTAACCAAAGGCTATATAACAACATTCAATTTGGTGGAGCTCAGTGCAGCTTCAACATTAACTCAGAACTATTATGTTATGTCATAGATAGTAGGAACTGCAGATGCTGGAGAATCCAAGACAACGAGGTGCAGGGCTGGATGAACACAGCAGGCCAAGCAGCATCATAGGAGCAGAGAGGCTGACGTTTCGGGCCTAGACCCTTCATCAGAAAAATGTTATGTCATATGTCTTCCCACCCAAGATTCTTTTGTATAGTTAATATTTATACATTTGAGTATACAACTGTATTTGCATTTATCACTACTTTATCTCTCCCAGATTCTCTGACTTCACAAATTCAGGTGGTCTCTGTTATCATCTAACATGTCTGGCAGGGATCTCTGAGACACTGATAGGCAACAGGTAATCAACAAGTAATTAACAAATAAATGTTGGAGTTTTTGGTGTACAAACTGTAAATAAAACTCTGACTGGAAAAGTATATGTATGGATTCTGGCTGACCAGCGTTTTAATTTCTAATATTTAACATTGGCAGCAAGGAATGATTAGCTACTTCTAAGTCAAGGACTGAAAACTAAGTATTATTCAAAGAGAAGAGTAATTTGGTAGTAACTTCAGGAAGATGGCTGAATCTAAATGGAAAGTATCAGAGTATGTTTATCCACCCCCTTTTTCTGAAAGCAAACGTTATGAACTGTGGAAGAATAAAGCAGCCATGTGGACCATGGTAACTGCTAATGATTGGAGATCATTGAAACCAGAAATGCCCAGGGTATGATCAGTTAATCTTTTGCTCTGGTTCAAAGTACCTTTACACCATGACTGTCCCAAAATAGAGATTTTGGAATGAAAAATGAAATAGAAGATGCAGAGAAAGAAGATGGAAATATGGATCAAAGAACGGGCACTGTATTGTTCATGAGAGGTTTTAGGTCTGTGATGAATATTTTCAGAATCTTTCAGTTGTGCAGTATTAGCCAGTGAATGTACATCTACAGTGTGTCAAATAGACTGGTTAAAATGTTACTAAACTCCTTGAGAAGAAAGGATTGGAACAAAAGTTTTAAAATTGAGAGTTCCACCAGTTTCTGTTTTGGGGACGATATGCACTAAGATATTTTAAAAGTGTAATCATTCCTTGTAAAATAAACTGAATCAATCATTTTATAAGCATGGATATGGCATTCACTGAAAAACCAGTGTTATTAAGTAGGCCATTGGTGAAAACAATGCAAATCAAAGTTACGGAAAATTACAAAGCTGTTGTATTTGGAAAATTTGCCAAAAATGAAATTGGAGACGTGTAGAAATATAAAATAAGAATTATGAAAATAATACAGCAATGGAAATCCCTTTTCACAATGAGGTTTGTAAGTGGAGCAACGCAGTGATAGACCAGAGATAACAAGGTGTAGAGCTGGATGAACACAGCAGGCCAAGCAGCATCCCAGATTGACCAAACTGTAAATTATTGCCAGCATTTGCATTGGCTGTCCATGCTAAGAATCCACTGCTGATGGTAGGAGGGTATGA